GCCTGGCCCGTATTAATACGGCCCCCGGTCAGCATTAATGCGGACTGCCTCGCGGTCGGCATTAATACGGGCCGGGCAGTATTAATACAGGCCACTTTTTTCCTCGCGGCCATATCAAGACTTGGGCCATATCAAAACTAGCCAACTACAGTCCTATTTCTGTTACGGACTAACTACAGTCCTGTAATTAGTCCTATTTCATGTCTTGGCAAATGCTCCGTAGGCCTGCAGTGACCCAAGGTCACCCCCTGAGGTGACCTTGGGTGAGGTGTTAGATCTGCTCATATTCTCCTAGGCAACAGCTAGATGAATACCGCTAGTTGTCTTTACGGAATCATGAAATGTCTTCGTTTGTTTTCTCTACATGATATTTTGAACTGTTTTGATCATGTAAAATAACATCTATTTTATCGAGCACGTTTTGTTCTATACCCAGGGTTACTTTTACAGGAAAAGTCGAGAGGGGGAATAAAGTTCGGGGCAAGGGCGGATCCAGGGGCATCTGAAAGGGGGACCCAATGCCATTAGGCTTTTGTTAGGATGGCGCCTGCAGAACCTTACCTACCCCCAAATCCTTCTCTCTCCCCGGATTCTGGCCAGTTTATATAGTTAGGTTGCCAAAAATAAATTAGCTAAAAAATATACCTACGTAGGTACCTACCTTGGCGGTAAGGGGCGGTTGAGGTCCCAACTTGACTGCGCCCTTGCAAATGTCAATCAGTAGTATCAACCTATTACCCTGGCCAAACATCAGGTAGCGCCTTTCTAAATAGAGAGAGGTTAACTCGTGACTATTTTTGCTAGGCCAAGACCGATTGAAGGACCCTGGTTCGAAGGAAGACCCTTGGTTCGGTGCAGTAGCGGCGGGACACCTTCAATTAAGGGGGGGGGGGGCAATGCCGACTTTTGGTCCCATTCTTTCCATGCAATGTCTATAGGGCTAATGTTAAAATGCCCAAATCAAAGGGGCACGGTGCCCCGGTGCCCTCCCCGTTCCGCCACCTATGGTTCGGAGAGGTCATGACCCCCGTCCCCCGCCGGTTTCTACGCCGACGCCTGTAGCGATATGTCAGTGATTGCGAAGAGACTGAAGAGACAAGACAAGAGACGGTCCCACCGACCATCCGATCGGTATCGGGTCAAATCTGGAGTTCCCGCTGCACTGAACGTAAAATGGTTGGATGGAACCTCAAATTGAAAATTATCTAAGCGCCAGCAACGTTGATTGATGACTAGAGTCTGATCAACGATGATTATAGAATCTGAGAAGCGAATTGATTGAAAATGGGCTCAAAAATAAATTTGAAAGGGGGAAATTCCCCCTTCCCTCCTAGCCGTTCACGCACAATTTGAAAGGGGGAGCGGAATTTTCGAAGGGGGGAAATTCCCCCTTTCCCCCCTTTAAAAGTTACCCTGCCTATATCATTCGCGAGCATTAGTTGCAACTGCTTGTCCTATTCGCAGCCTTTCGATCTTGATTCGCTAGTCTCGGGGTACTAGTTCCGCAATTGTATGGAATGGTTGTGGATTCGAGGCGTGACTGGCGAATGGTTCACATAGGGCGTTCAACTTTTATCAGTAAGCCACCATCAATATGGGCATGCATTCATAGCTAATGTAATTGATTTTGAAGCAAACTGATATTTTTCCACTAAAAGGTGGGCAGCATTAATACTGCCCACCTAAATCGGCCGCATTAATACCGACCGGCAAGGCGGCCCGCATTAATGCTGACCGGCCCGCATTAATACGGGCCGGACCTCCGGTCAGTATTAATACGGGCCGGGCAGCATTAATGCAGGCCGGGTTTTAAAACGGGCCGTAACATATATAGTGCTCTGTGCTGTGGAGTATGAAGTTCTCGTAGTGAACTAAGACTCAATATGATTGATTTTTTTTGCGTGCATCAAATAAAACGAGAAGAATTTGACGACAACAATGAAACGAGATTGTTAGATATCAAAGTGGTTGTGTCTCCGACGACCTTCCTTTATTGGATTGACTCTGTCTCCAACACCGGTTGGAGAGTTGACACCTTTTTTCACCTCTGGCCGACCGGTCCCGTCCGGCCCGCTCCGCTGACAGGTCCCGCCCGGCCCGACCCGCCGGGCGGACCGAGGCGGACCGCCCCGCCGCCCCCGGGCACCGGCTCCGCACGGGGCACCGGACGGCCGGCGCCGCCGGCCCCCCGCGCGGCGCCCGGCATCGCCCCGCGGCCGCCGACCTCCGACAGCAGCCGCTCCAGACTGGACATGCTGTCGATCCTCCGGCTGCCGGAGTCCCGGCCGCACTTCACGTACAGTGGATCTTATTAGGATCTCCAGACGTAACTAGATGGCGTTGAGCCTTAGTCGAGTCCATGTCAAATTCAAGGAGAGGTCACTACCGAGCTGGGCCCGATGGGGAGGTGGGCGGGGGGTGAAGGGGGGGGCGGGTGGCGAGGTCACGACGGTGCGGGTGACCTGTCAAACAGCCCCGGCGCGGTGGGGCACTGCCGTAGGCAAATGGCGCACTCCAGTGTTGTTCCATATCGCGGTGGTGGGCCGGGCCAGGCCGGGCGGCCGGTTAGCTTGGCAGCTTGGAAGGAAAGGATAATGAGGCATGGTTTTGCTGTGGCCGGTTCACCTACTGTTACTTATGATGCACCCAGAGTAATGCAAATGTGGCGTTGATAATGCAGCTGGCAATGGAATGCTAGCGAATGCTCCGAGCTCCTAGCTATAAGGATTAAGGTTATTTATGTCTCCTGAAACTTTCATTGGATATAATTCAAGCACTAGAAAGATCGTATTCGTTCGCCAGTTTTTTGACCGGCTGGCGTTTCTTACGTAGAGCGCCCTGGGCAAATATTTAGGTATAACGCAGGTGATTTTTTTTTTTTTGCTGGTAAGACGCCTTTAGGGTCAAATCAAGCAGTGGCGGCGGAACACCTTTAATGAAGTGGGGGCACTGCCGACTTTTGGTCCCATTCTTTCCATGCAACTCCCATAGGGCCAATGTTAAAATGCCAAAATCAAACGGGGGCACGGTGCCCCGATGCCCCCTCCCCCGTTTCGCCGCCACATGGAATCAAGTCGCTAAGAGACGGTGAGGAAAAGTGGACGAACGCCACATTTCTGTGCATGAAGTCTCGAATTAAAAAAGCTAAAAGTTACTATACGTGTAAGCTAAAAAAACAATAAGATCAGTTAATAAAAATATTTGACCCGAAATTAACTTCTGTTTTGTCTGACCATGATAGCATGTATGACCCCGGTCCAGTCTGGTTCAACTCGGTCCAACCTGGTTCGGCTCCCCCTTTTTTAATATAAATTTGGCCCGAACCTTTTGAATGGAAGGAATCACAAGGACACAGTCCCCGCTAAGCTGAGCTTGTTAAGCGTTGACCCTGCAATCTACCCTCCGATCAAGCAATTCCTGGTCTATTGCAGACTATGGTTTTGAGGTTTAGTCTATGGCAAAATGGTCTATGGTTTAGAGTCCAAATTTTAACGTGCGCACATAGCCGCGCACGGCCGGTCCCCTCACTGACTTCGCCTGGCAGCGGCCTGCCACCAACCACAACCATACCTACCCGTCAGGAGGCTAAAAAACGTCAAGCACACGTCGCGTTTCGAACCCGGACTTTTGCAACCGGGACGTGCGCCTTCACCACATGGCACATGGAGTCCAACGCTCTACCGACTGAGCTACCGGGACGGACATTTACCTTGGGGTTTCGCCTCGTGACATTGAAAGACGTCTGACATTTTGGCCGAACTTTAGCCGAAACACTGAGCAAGCTGCGCAGGGCGATCGGTGCTCGTAGCGTTGAGGTTGGGTAACCTGTGAGCTGAACGCGATGTCGTGAGTTCGAGCCCCACTCCCGGGTCTGGTTTTATCTAGACACAACTAAAACCTTTCCTTCTACTGCAACACAGCTAAGCACGATGACATCTTTCCCCAATATCCTCCCCAAAAGTCAAAATTATCGCTTATAAACATTTAGCTAAGTTTTATTTTTTTAGGAAAATATTTTTGGTCATTTGTCTCTGGAGCCATTTCAACTCTTTTTTCTTTTCTGATTCTTTTCAACCCGATAAAACCCACCAAAACTGAACGTGCCAAATGAAAAATATATAACTCAAATAACAGTTTAGAAAAGCCTCATCATGCATCATGAAAAGCATCATGCAGCTATCGACTGAAAAGTTGCATGCTATGAATACGTCCTAGATTTCAATTATCATTGTTCAACATTTTGGCTGGAACTGACGCTGCCTCTGGCTTGCCCGTTTGTTTGAGATAATGATTCCCTTCAGTCGCATTCTTGCCGGTTCCACATGAACAGGATACCACCATACCGGAGTGAACGCACCCGCAACCATCATCCCCTCCCCTCAGCCTCGGCGCAGTGGCGGGCGGCCCTGGGCGGCCCACTCCCGGGGCTACGCACGCCCCATGCGCCGTGATACCGCGTCACTCCCCCTCCCTCCTTCCCCCACAATGACCGGTGACCTCACTTCCCTCGGAATTTGGACTCGCCCTACCCCGACCGTAGCGCCACGTGGTGGCTCTGGAGATCTTAAATAGACCCACTGTACACCAGGCCTCGGCGACTGAACACGGTGTAAATCTGCCGCCGTTTCTTGGCTTGTACCAGGGCATTCATTATTTCCTTATTCTGCGCCAAGAGGGACTCTGTGATGAACAGACGCTTCGCAGGGTCCCCGGCGCGCTGCTGAAAACGTTTTTTTTTTTAGAATTTTTAGAATCTTACATGTACCTTACTGAGGAGTGAAGATTCATAATACCAACAAAATACCAAATCATGCCATTAGAATTGAAATACCAAGACCAAGTTGGTTTCGGTTCGGTATCGGAATACCAAAAATTGGATATCCGATTGACATATCTACATCTAGTACCTACTGATAGCCTGGCTGAGAGCGCGTGGATTGGCGAGCGGGCGCTGCGCAGTGTGGACTGTACGCCGAGTGACACCAGCCCGCCTGCCTCAGGTGCTGGCCGAGCCGGGCGCGCCGCCGGCGCCGGCCTCCGTGGTGCCGCCCGATCATGCCGTCACACAGGACAATCTGGTGAAGCTGCTGCACATGCAGCAGCAGCACCAGCAGCAGCACCAGCTTGAGCAGCAGCAGCAGCAGCAGCAGATGGCGGCGGCGCAGAACCTGGAGCAGCTGCTGACGATGCGTCGCCCTCCCAGCCCGGCTGCGGCGCCCATCGAGCAGCTGATGGCCATACCGGAGGCGCGCAGCATCCTCATCGGTCTGCAGACGGGCCGGCTGAGTCGGCACAGCCTGGTGCAGCAGCTGCACAGCCAGGTGGGTCACAGCCGCCGCACCCCCGCGCCCGAGCTGATAACGCCCGGTTTGGTCGGCCCTTGTCGTTAGGCTGAAAAGATTGGCTAGATAGCTTCCGCTGTTGATGAATTTGGTTGTACAGTCTCTCTTGAAATTACCGCAGCATTGCATGGTGCGGTGGCTCGTTTAGTGGGTCAGGCCACGCTGTCTCCGCCTGCCCGCGGCGGTGGTAGGCCGACGGGCGAGTGCTCGCCAGGCGCCAGGCCGAGACACTTCGGTTGGGACTAGCAACTCTCGCTACGCATGATGCCCATCTGAGAGGTAGATATGTTACAGGCAATGTGTGGAATCAGGCACTCTATAGAATGCCTAGGCATTCTATAGAATGCCTGACCGACCAGGCATTCTATAGAATCCCTAGGCATTCTATAGAATCCCTGACTGCTTAGGCATTCTATATAATGCCTGGCTTAAGCGCCTAAGTATGTATTTTGATTGTCCGAAACAACACTTCGAAATTTAGGGGTCAGTGGCAGTAATATGTACTGTTTGTTTATCTAATATTCTTTGTTGGCCTAGGCCGGTTGTCACCTCACATCATTTCAGGGCAATGAGTTGAGAGGAAGCGAGGGAGAAATTGGGTTATGCCGACCACCAAATGGTGCGCCGTGTCACAGCTCCGGCTCCCTCGGCCAACCACACAGGCGGGTGTCTCGATCAAAACTGTTTATTCGGTCCAGGTACACCGGTGACCGGAGACCAGGACCAGGACCGGAGACCACTCGTCCCCGTAAGCGATCTACAGCTGCCACATACACGGCGTCACCAGTTCCCAGATCACGCTCACGAGCGTAACGGTCACGATAGCCCTTCTGAGCCTCTTGCCGCTCCTGTATACGTCCCTGTCTATCGGGTATGGTGGCATCCAAATGCGTGCGCGGAACTCGACCCAGAAATAGCTCAGCGGGAGTGCATAGGGCCGTACTTTGTGGAGTAGTGCGATATTTGAACAGAAACCGCGACACTTTGGTTTCGGCTGTTCCCGAGCTCTGTTTGTTCCAGCCCTTCTTAAATGTTTGTACACTGTACAGCCCTCTCAACCAAACCATTTGACTTGGGGGACAGCCACGGCGTAGTCAAGTGTTTGATCCCGTTGACTTTGCAAAACGCCTTGAAAGACTCAGATAGGAAGCACTGAGCATTGTCAGTAACGATCACTGCCGGCATGCCCCAACTAGCGAAAGAAATGCGCAATTTTTCAATGGTAATTGCGGAATCGGAAGATCGGGTGGGATAAATGGCCATCCATTTAGAATGGGCGTCGACCAGTACTTAAAACATCCAACCATTCGCCGTGCAATAATCTGCATGCATGCGCTGCCACGGTTTCGTGGGCCATTGCCACGGGTTCATTGGCGCCTCCGGAGCGCTGCCTTTCTGCGCCTGACATTTGTCACACGAACGGACCACGTCATGTAGGGGAGAGTGGGGTAATTTGGCCGCTTTTTTTAGCAAACGATGTAACTAAAAATCGACAACACATTTCTGCATATTCTCAACGCTGACAGGTGTGGCATACATTTTACTTTCTTGGACAGTAAACTTGAAATGATAGAGTAACTACTTATATTGAAATTGTGACGTATTACAAATGTCTGCAAAGCGGCCAAATTGCACCCCTATCAGGGCGTTATTTGGCCGGGGTGTGGGGTAATTTGGCCGGTGTTAGTTTGAGGCCATGATTTTTGTTATAGGCGAGTCAGCTTCACATTCAGCAATGACTCGTGTCCTACGATGCATTTGAAGCATTTTGGAGGTTGACTCAGCCGTCACAGGGGCCGAAAATAGTCAAAATAACGGCTCTAGATGTCATGACAGTTTTTTACGAATAGCTTTTGAAGTAATCAAGCTAGGCCAAAACTAAAAGTACCATCGTAATTCTCTCGTCATTCCGCATCGAAACATGTATGTGTTGACCTCGAGAGGTCAAGGTCAAAGGTTGGCTTCAGGTCACGTTACCTCAGGTCGCTTGACCTCAAGGTTACGTGAGTTCAAGGTCATCATGTATATCATTCGATGCGCCTTGACGAGCTGAACACAATGATACCATTTGCGCGGCTGTATCTTTTTTCTGTAAGTATTTATTAGCAAAAAAGCGTTAGGTAACCTTTGATGACGTCACATGCCCTTACAGCTGTCCAATAGGAAATATGGCATCAAGGTAGTCAAAGTTGGTCATGAATTATGTCCTTTATGATATAATTGACCATGACAACTCGGCCGTCCCAGCATAGTGACTCTGAGCGCACCGGCCAAGTTGCCCCGCTAGTCCCGGCCAAATAACCCCACATTGCCATTCTGAAATTTTTTGTCTATAAAGTCGTCATTGCTGTACAGAACTAGATGAAATTGCTCTTGGAACCGCTGAACACCCTAAAAAATGGCGCTATAATGTTGGAATTCGTTTACAGCCCAAATACTACATGTTATACAAATTTTTAAACGGAAGTAAAAGTTACCATTTTCTAACGAAATTCACCTTTTATTAATTTTGAATAAAACTAAGAGGGGGAAAGGTTTGACATTTGTTCTCGAGTTAGTTCTGCCGACGACAAATGAATAGAGACTAAAGTTATTTCATTCACTTTTATCAGCTTTCGTACAGGTGGGGGCGGCCAATTTACACCACCGGCCAAATTACCCCACTCTCCCCTATGTCATCGTCCAGCTTGGGCCACCAAAGATACATCCTAGCTAGCATTTTTGTACGACATTCACCGACATGGTCCTCATGCAGAAGCTTCAAAATGTCGGCTCTGCCCTGAGGTGGGATCACGACTCGAGATCCCCATAAAATGCAGCCATCCTGGACACTGAGCTCGCCTGTACGAGATTTGTATGGCTGAAAATCGGGACAGAGACTGTCTCCCGATTCCGGCCAGCCGCTCAGGACGTACCTGTAAACGGCGGACAACACCGCATCCTGGCTTGTCCATCGCCGTATCTGAGCAGAACTCACAGGCGATGAATCAAAGAATTCCAACAGGTGAATGTTTTCAGCCGGAATGGGGACTTTCCCGGTCGTCCCTGCCAAAAGCAACCGGCTCAGAGCATCGCAATGCCCCTGTTTTGATCCAGAACGATACTCGAGCCGATAGTCATTCGCCCCGAGCATCAGCGCCCAGCGAACCATCCTTGGCGAAGCCATCACTGGCAGAGGCTGCCGTTCGCCTATTAGCCCAAGTAGCGGCTTGTGGTCCGACTGAATAACGAAAGATCGGCCGGCTAAATAATAATGAAATTTTTTACACCTGTCACCACCGCGATCGGGCCTCTTTGTCGGTCTGTGAGTACCTGGTCTCGGTATCACTTAAAGTTCGCGAATAGAACGCGATAGGACGATCTCCTTGGGGCGTCAGCTGGCTTAGAACGCAGCCTATTCCGACGGGCCCCGCATCACACGCGAGAACCACTGGCCTGGCCGGGTCAAAATGCGCTAGCACGGGTGGCTTGACCAACAACGCCTTCGCGTTTAGGAAAGCTTTGCTTTCCACCTCCGTCAACACCAGACCTGACCAGCTCGTAACAGCCGGTATAGCGGCGAGAGAATGGTGGCCAGATTCTCGAGAAACTTCCCATTGTAATTTACTAGGGTGACCCGCGTGCTCCGCGACGCGAAAAGGGGTATTTTCGATCGGCGGGTGTTCGGTTGTTCTTGTGTCGGTTGGGTTATCTATCCATTTCGGTCGATTGCTTTTTGACGGCTAAACGTTTTGGTTTGTGGAAAAAATACTCGAGGGCAGCGCTTTTCGAGGAGCGCTGTGGCCCGAAGGTTTGAACTTTGAATTGTGAAAAACGCCCGCCCGCCGCAAAACGCAAACACCGCAAAACGCGCAAAACGCACGCCCGAAACGCCAACGCAAAGGTCGCAAAAAATAAACAAACGCCCGCCCGCCGCAAACCGGAAATAAAAAAAACGCAAAAACGCCGCAAAACAATAAAACCGCCCGCATCGCACGCCCGCTAACCGCCAACCGAAAACGCCTAAAAATCGCCCGCCCGCCGCCAAAAAAAAACAACGCAAAAAAAACGAAAAAGCGGCCGCCAACCGCAAACATAACACCGCAAACGACGCAAAAAAAAACGCCCGCATCGCCCGCCCGCCCGCCCGCCGCCAAAGACAAACACCGCAAAAAACACAAAACGCCCGCCCGCCGCAAAACGTAAACACCGCAAAACGTGTAAAACGCACGCCCGAAAAGCCAACGCAAACGGCAAAAAAATCGCCACACCGCCGCAAACCACACAGAAAAAAAAACGCCGAAACGCCGAAAAAAAATAAAACCGCCCGCACCGCACCGACGCTAACTGTTAACCGAAACGACTAAAAGTCGCCCGCCAGCCGCCAAACGCAAACACCGCAAATAAGCGCCCGGCCGCAGCAAGATAATAATTTATCAACGACTGGCATACCGCTAGGCTGGTCATTTTCACAAATCAAAAGGATATTTGCAAAAATCTCCTAGATGAAAGCGCCCGATTAAAAAACGGATGGCACGTGCGTGTTCCTCGCCCCCAACTTCCTTCAGGTCAATCGTCATTTGGGTCACCTAACGCATTGACGACCGGCTGGGCGGAATCATGGTGTGTCAAAAGTGGAAATAGCCGCCCGGCTTTAGTTCGCCAGCCTTGTCAATAGATGGCAGTACCACAATATGGGCAGCGGATCGTGCAATTGACGTCAAATTTTCGTTATCTGCTAAGAATTGAATGGCGGATCTTTTCATGCAAGAATCAAGTAAATCGGTCCACAACTTTACTAGCAACAGAGATATGAAGTCAAATACCCTGCCAGAGCGGCGGCGCGGCGGCCGGTGGCAGCCGTTACGCGCCGCCTGGGAGACGGGCGGCGCTGAACGGTTCCGAATTGGCACTGCACTAAAACCTGTTAACTGCTTGGAATAGTTATTATAGCAAAATTTTTATTCAAGTGAGGAATAACCAAGGGCAGGAAGTATGTA